AAGAAAAAAAAAAAAGATAAACACATAAAGATTGAAAAAAAAAAAAAAGAGATAAGAGCTCACAACACATGGAATCCAGGAACAATATGGGCATAGCAATACCAGAAGAGTAGAGGGAACGTAGGGAGAGGAGGGGAGGAAGGGGTAACCAATTGCAATGACCGACACAGCCACACACCCTCCCTCCAGGGGGCGATGGGAGAAGAGAGATAGCGGTTGGTATAAACTATGAAACTAATAATAATTTACAACGTATCAAGGGGTCACGAGGTTGGGGGGGAGAAGCTATTACCAAGGGCTCAACAGAAAGTAAATGTATAGAAAAGAATGATGGCAACCTATTTACAAAAATGCTTGATACAATCGATGTATGGATTATTATAAGAGTTGTAAAAGCCCCCAATAAAATGAACTTTTAATTTAAAAAAATATCACCCAGAAGCTTCTGTATTACCATGAAATATATAAGAAACAAACCGAGACGTCACCGTTCCTCAGTGTTTTCCTTGGGTTCTAGTAGCTTCATCTGGTTCCATGGAATCATGCAGTTTTATCAGGCTGTCTTCCCGCTCAGTGCTCACCGCAAGGATAACATAACCTTGCCTTCCCTCCGTAAAGTGGCTACTCTTCTCCCCAGGGAACCTTGAAATAATATTGCCCTTTCTACTTTAAATTCAAAGCAGAATATTGGCTCCTAGCTGGACTAACGTTGTCTTAGTGGGAACAAGAGTGAATTTTGATAGTCCGTGTAGTGAAATGAAAACAAAGGAAGTCCTTCCCGGGGTCTTTCTTCCAGTAAAATATGCACAAATGCTTTTCTTTATTAGAATGATGGTTTCGCCTCCCTGGCCAAGTAGGATATCCAGGCGTATTAGATTAAGTGGTACCAGCAAATTCTCCATCTGTTTCTTTGCAGTTCGTAGCAGATTACAGCGGACAAGACAATTTCTTACAACGAGTGGGACAAAATGGCTTAAAGAATTCCGAGAAGGAGTCGACCGTCAACAGCATCTTCCAGATCATCAGGAGCTGCAGTCGCAGCCTGGAGACGGAGGATGAGGGCGGCCTCGGTGAAGGCAGCGGCTCCAGGAAAAACTCCTTGAAGGAGAAAACTCGGTGGCAGTAAGTTTGGCATTTTCAAAACGAGAAGGCTGACTTTGTCTCCCTTGTTGGTTAGTCTTTGTCCTGTCTCGACTTGGTTTCACATGAAGATTTAATGGATTCAGTGGCAGAATTCTCACCTTCCACAAGGGAGGCGTGGGTTCATTTCCTTCCAAGGCACCTCATTCTCAGCCACCAGCCATCTGCCAGTGGAGGCTTGCATGTGGCTAGGACAAAGAACAGCTGTCAGCGGGACTTCCAGACCAAGCCAGAGTAGGAGGACAGGCCTGACTCCTTACTTCTGCGGGGGGGGGGAATATCAGCCTGTGAAAATGCTATAGTCTGATCCCATCCATTGAGTCTGGGGTCTCTATGATTCGGAGGCCACGAGAGCACCTAGCAGCAGTATTGCTAATGCATGCTTTCTGTGTCCAAACCCCAGTAATTTTCAATGACAACTTGACTTTCTGATTTGGTTGCTGTGTTCTAAGACTAATGCCCATAATCTAACTTCTTGTCTTCTGTACTGCCTCAAAAATGAAAACTAATCTTCTGATTCTAATACATTTTAAAATTTAAATCTCAAGATTAGAACTACTACTTTTCATTTGTTTTATAGGTTCAAGTAGCACTGGGTGGTGGGGTGAGGCTGCTACCTGCAAGGTCAGCAGGTAAGGCCAGGCTTTCTACTCCCATAAACAGTTACCGTCTTGGAAACCAACGGGGGGGAAATTCTACTCTGTCCTATAGGGTCACTGTGAGTCAGAATCAACTCAATGGCAGTGAGTTTGGGGTTGTTGGGTTTTTGTGGGTTTTTTTAAGTTTTGAGCATTGTCAGCATTAAAGGCACTCTAGCAAGGGAGAGGGATGTCTAGGCGGCACACACGGTGAAGTGCTCAGTTGCTAGAGGTTCAAGTCCACCCTGAGGAGCCTTGGAAGAAAACTCTGCCTTCCGTCAATCTACTGAAAACCAGCCATTGAAAACCCTGTGGAGGCAGTTCTACTCTCACAGCCGTGGGGTTGCCACGGACCACCGTCAACCTGACGGCAACTTGTTTGGGTTGTTGTGTTGTTGGTTTGTTAGTTGGCTTATAGAGGAAGCACCAGCTACAAATAAGCACGTGTTTATACAAGAAGCCTATCAGGACCATTTAAGTGCTTCACCCATCTGTCTCAATCTGTCAGTCTCCATATTAAAAAACTGTCAGATTGCATACGTTTCACCTTCCGGAATGGATTTCCTAGCAGCTTATAAGAATAAATATGAATAATATAAGATACTAAGGAAAAGGGAAAATAAGGATAGCGACAAACAAAGCATACAAAAATGCATACCACACCGTTCTGTGTAAATTTTGTTCGTAGCTTCTCAGTGGCCAAAGGAATGAGTAATCATACATAATTCATTACAAGTTTCATGATATTTGTAGGAAAAATCAAAGAGGAAATGGGGAGAAGCACGCCTCTCCCGCAGACTGAGATCTGGCCAGGTGCCTTCCTTAAATCCTGCTCTCAAGGATATGTACATTATTTTAGAATCACAGGTAACTTGGGTATCATAGTGAATGTCATATGATATTCAGATATTATATTTAGATGATGTTGAGATGATGCCTAAATAGATCATTTTCTCAGTTTCTTTTTTACATCAGTGTTCACTGGGAGTTGTGTGTCCATGTGTTTTATGGAATACTCCCTCTGAGGCTCAGAGACCGAGACTTCGAGCCTTCCTGTGTCACCCTCTCCTTGCCCCTGGCTCCCTTCAAGGGTTAAATTCCTTGCACGATCACATCACCTCTCATGATATTTTTACTCACAATTTTCGGCTTGTTTCCTTGTCCCATTCCTAATCATTTGCCATCTATATTCACTATAAGTGCCTGTGTCCCAGACCCCTTTATAAGCACTTTTTTGTTTATTTGTTTTACTCATTTTATTAGGGGCTCATACAACTCATCGCAATTCTTACATACATCAATTGTGTAAAGCACATTTGTACATTCATTGCCCTCATTATTCTCAAAACATCCGCTCTCCACCCAAGCCTCTGGCATCAGCTCCTCATTTTTCCCCTCCCTCCCCACTCCCCCTCCCTCATGAGTCCTTGATAATTTACAAATTATTATTTTGTCATATCTTGCACTGTCCGACGTCTCCCTTAACCCACTTTTCTGTTGTCCGTCCCCCAAGGAGGAGGTCACATGTAGGTTCCCCCTTTCCAACCCACCCTTCCTCTACCCTCCCAGAATTGCCACTCACACCACTGGTCCTGAAGGGATCATCCACCCTGGATTCCCTGTGTTTCCAGTTCTTATCTGTACCAGTGTACATCCTCTGGTCTAGCCAGATTTGTAAGGTAGAATTGGGATCATGATAGTGGGGGGCGGTGGGGAAGCATTTAGGAACTAGAGGAAAGAATCAACTCTAACTCACAGTGACCCTACAGCACAGAGGAGAACTGCTCGTTTGGGTTTCTGAGACTGTAACTCTGTACCAGAGTAGACCGCCAGCCTCGTCTTTCTCCCGTAGAATAGCTGATGGGTTCGTGCCACCGCCTGGTGCTTCTCCCACAGCAGCAAGCACTCATAGAAAGGAAAGAATAAACACACAGAACCTTGGAAGCCACATTGACCCCCTCACAATGAATCGGCAGACACGATGTACCTACGTATGAGTAAGAACTCCCTGTTCCCAAGTAATGGCTGCTCTGAAGGGAACCTCGGACCACAGAGTGGGGACAGAACGGCTTCATAGAGTTCCCTGCAGCCAGAGCTGCCACATTGTTTCTGGTACTTACTACTCCATTCCTGACGCAGAGCCCCGCGTTAAAATGGGTTGTGTGTGGTAAAGGGAGAAATGTGCTTTGTGGATCTGGCTGCAAAAAAAAGACAAAGACTATGAACGCTAGGCCCCCAGCCCCAGCTCATGTGTCGACCCTGGCCCTCTGAAAACCACAGCGGAGAAAGAAGGGCCACCCCTGTGGACCTTTGCTTCAGCTGGCCTGACGTCAGCCCTTCCAATTCTTCTCAAACCTCTTGGCCACTCTGGCCGGAGAACCAGCTACCGGCATTTACAGTAGCTGACGAAGGTGCTAAGGTAATGCACAGCAAGAATTCACCAGAAGCATTTTGCTAGGTGTTATTACAAGGCGCAACTGCAGCAAGACCTTCTTAGAAGATTTTCCTTTATCTAAAAGGATCTTGTTTACACTTATCTTGATGATTCATTTCCAAGGAATCATGTTAAAGTTATAAGAAGTAGTGAGCTGTTAATAAAGAGAATACATAACTGGGTTGACCAGTGTCACTCGGAACATGTGCCTGGGGAAATACAATAGAATTTGTGGCGGCTGAAACCTGTACAAGCTGGAAACACGACAGCGAAGAAAAACCAAACCCCACTGCCATCGATCTGTATTAACTCATAGTAACCCTATAGGACAGGGTAGGACTGCCCCCGTGAGTTTCCAAGACTGCAAATGGGAGTAAGAAGCCCCATCTTCCTCCCACGGAGCCCCTGGTGGTTTAGAACTGCCGACACTGCAGATTACAGCCCAGGTGTGTAGCCAGTATGCCACCAGCGCTCTTTGACAGGGAAGGAAAACTTACTCATTTCCACTAGAATGAGTGACAAGGCAGTGGTTGGACTGCACCCTGTCAGGGGGAGCACTTGTGAGATTCCGAAGAACAAGAGATTCCTGTTGAATTCCAGTTCTCATGGGTTTCGTTGTAATAGGAAAATATTTGTCTCATTTGTAGCTTCTCAATCAAGGACGCTGCAGAACCTCTGCAGCGCTAGGATGGAATAGCTCTTTCCCTTTCTACTCCTGGGTTCTTTGCTTAAAGCACATGACCTGCCTTGGATAGAGGAAACCATACTTCTACTTCGATTTCTCGCTCTCACTGTTTCAAGTCCTAGCTACCTGGATTCTGACTTCTAGCTACCCTACAGGACAGGATAGGCCGGGCCTTGTGGGATTCCGAGGCTGTACATCTCTACAGGAGTCGAAAGCCTCATCTTGCTCCTTTAGAGCCGCTAGTGGTTTCGATCTGCTGACCTTTCAGTTAGCAGCCCAACACTATACCACCAGGGCTCCTTTTTAGTTCACTAGTAAACCACACTTCTGATCTTTGGTTAACGTTTGATTCCTAAATAGCTTTAAAAAAAAAAACAACCCAGCGATTGATTTGACTCCAATCATAGAGATCTTGTGTAGGGTTTTCAGGACTGATAGATTTTACTACTGGTGTAGATAAAGCATCTTCTTCATGAGCAGTAGCTAGTGGGTTTGAACCACTGACCTTGCAGTTAGCAGGCCAGTGCTTAATCTGCAGCGCCACCAGGACTTCTAATAACTCTTAATGTTCTTTACTTGCCATTTGTTGAAAGGCCACAGAAATTTGCCTTCTGAGAAAAGCAGGCACATACATGCATAAAATTATATCTTCTGTGAGACAAAAATTACTATTTTCTTGCTTGAAAGGAGCTTATTTAATTATAAGCAATTGTCCATTTTATTTTAGACGTAGTCCCTGGATTAATGATTTTGAACAGAATTGTTCCATCTGGCACTGGTTCTTTTTGCGCCATAACATAGAAGCTGACGCCAAGAAAGAGAGCGCTCCCTCTCTCCCCGTTTACATCAGACACAGGCTCCAGAAAGCCTTGCAGGTTGCTTTCCAGGAACGCTTTGAAAGGCCTGCAGTTCTTCACAGGAAAAGACTTGCCGTAGCCCAGAACCAAAAGTAAATGGCATAAGGGAGACTCCGTTTCTCGTTCTTGTCTCCCATCAAGGTCCTCCTGGCCTTAGGAATCCTAACACAGGGAAAAAAACTTGGTGAATTTTCCAATAGGCACACACACACACACACTGTCAAAGTCAAGTTAAGGTGAATTGCTCTGGCTTCTCCAAGACTTTGACCCTATGTTCCAATGAATGTCTTTGAACTGAACTTTTTTAATCTTATTAATAGAGGTACTTGTAGAACCAGCCTATTAAGTCTTTCACCTATTTGAACACCAGCCTATTGATTCTTGGAGAGTGATTGAACTTACTGTGTATTCCGGACTAATTGGAGAATTCCTGATGTGAAAAGAAACTTTCCCCAAAGCGCTGACTCTTTCCTCACCAGGTTCTGAGTGACAGCAGCCCTGAGAGGGCAGTGTCTCATCGCTCGAAGCCGGTGATGAAGATCACAAGCCCAATAATCCAATAATCTCACACTGGCCAGGCCTCTTCTGGGTAGGGTAACCTGAGCGAGTTACTTCTCCTTTCTGAACCTCAGTTTTACTGCAGGCAAAAGAATAATAATAAAACTTCGCCAAAGCTTACTGCCATCAATTTGATTCGAACTCATTAGCGATCCGACAGGGCAGGGTACAGCTGCCCCTGTGGGTTTCCAGACTGCCTGTCGTCTTCCTCTCGGAGCAGCTGGTTGCTCGAACCGCTGGCCTTCCGGCTAGCAGCCCAACACACACCCAGTACCCACCAGAGCTCCTCAAAGTTGCTTCACAGGCTGTTGGATGATGTGCAAAAATGTATGGAAACTACTGTATGTAAATGTATACAAAGTCCCTGAAGCAAGAGGCAAACTAAAATTAATGAAGGTTGGTACAGCTGCTATAAATATACCCTATCTGATCTAATCAGTCCTTCCCTTAAGCCTGTGGTGAACACATGATCATTTATACAAAGTTAGAATTGAGACTGCCTTTATAAAAATGACTCTGCAGGGGTGCTCCAACTTACTGACTGCCATTGAATCAATTCCAGCTCAGTGCCACATTATAGGGCAGGGTAGGACTGTCCCTGTGAGTTTCTGAGACTGCAGCTCTTTATCGGAGTAAAAAGCCTCATCTGTCTCCTGAGGAGCAGCTGGTGGCTGCAAACTGCTGACTTTGTGTTCAGCAGCCCAGTGCATACCCCACCAAGCCTCCAGGTCTCCCCAGACTACATGACGAATGAAATGAATGTCACTGAGTGGTACTCAATGAATGCGGTAACCTTGCCATACACGGTACCACAATAAGAAAATCGTAATTACTTTGAAACGTTGGCATTTTCCATTTCCTTTGCGCATTTAAAGAAGCCCTGGTGGTGCTATGAGTTAAGCCTTGGGCTTCTGGCTGCAAGTTTTGTGGCCCGAGCCCACCAGCCACTCCAAGGGTGAACGAGGAGGCGGACTGTCTGCTCCCGTAAAGAGTGGCAACCTTGGACACCCCACACAGGCTCACTGGGAGTCGGAACGAGTGCTGTGCAATGAGTTGGTTGGGTTTTCAGTATGTGGAGCTGAGTTCAGAATAATAATTAAAAAATGAACTCCCATTTAAATGGAAGGCTTTTTTTGTTTTTTCTCCCTTCTGACTGTGGAACAGATCGCATTTATGTCTCTTTGCATCAGGTTTATAATTGGAGACTTGTTGGATTCCGAGAGTGACATCTTTGAGCAGTCCAAAGACTGGGATCCACACCGAACAGAAGATCCACCGCCCAAGGCCTTTGACCATGGCACGGAGCTCATCCCCTGGTACGTGCTGTCCATCCGCGCGGACGTTCATCAGTTCCTGCTGCAGGGAGCCACGGTCATCCACTATGACCAGGACTCTCACCTGTCTGCCCGCTGCTTCCTCCAGCTTCAACCTGACAACAGCACCTTGACCTGGATAAAGCCCACCACCGCCTCCCCAGCCAGCGTGAAAGCCAAGCTTGGCGGGCTCAGTAACATGGCCGAACCGGGCAAATTCCCGTTACTGGGCAATGCTGGAGTGAGCGGGCTGACGGAGGGGCTTCTGGACTTGTTTTCCACCAAGGCTGTGTACATGGGACACCCGGGCATTGACATACACACTGTGTGTGTTCAGAACAAGCTGGGTAGCATGTGTCCCTCAGAGACTGGCGTGACGCTGCTCTATGGGCTTCAGACCACGGACAATCGGCTATTGCACTTTGTGGCGCCAAAGCACACGGCCAAAATGCTCTTCAGCGGCTTGCTGGCACTCATTCGAGCCGTGAGGAAGATGAGAAGGTTCCCTGATCAGAGACAGCACTGGCTGCGAAAACAGTACGTCAGCCTCTATCAGGTAAGGGGGCAGTATCACCTCACCTTCAGGAGCGCAGCTCCCCAGGGCAGACACTCTGCTAGCAGACTGCCCGGGTTCCCGCTCCCAGCTCGGCTACTTCGGTACCTGGGTTGCCTTGGGCAGCCTTTATTTAACTTCTCAGAGCCTCCGTGTCCTTGGCTGTCCAATAGACAAACGTGTTATATTTCATATGTAGCATTATTTTACATGTGTGTTTATATTATACCTATGATATTTCATGTATCACTAACGATACCTTTTCTGAAAGTGGATATTGAGATTAAATGAGGGACTCTGCCTACAATGTGCGAAGACTAGTGCCTGCTCCTAGCAGGTGCTACCCTTACGATGTAGGTTAACAGCGATTCTGGCCAGGGTTGTATTCAGCCCAGGAAAGAAGGACATTCTTTTTTTGGGGGGGAAACATTTTATTGGGGACTCATACAATTCTTATCACAATCCATACATACCTCAATTGTGCCAAGCCCATTTGTACATTTGTTGCCATCGTCATTCTCAAAACATTTGCCTTCTACTTGAGCCCTTAATATCAGCTCCTCATTTTCCCCCTCCCTCCCCTTTACCCCTCCCTCATGAACCCTTCATAATTCATAAATTATTATTATTT